GGATTAGAGAGATAACAGCCACAGTTTCCAAAGATGTCACGTTCAATCAGTATGACAGATTCCCCCCTGCTCTAACCCATATAAAAAGGAATAATCTGAACTAACTGGATGGTAAGCTAATCAGCTGCTTCTTGTCACCATGTCCCCCATGCCTTAATTTATAAGGACAGTAGCTGTGAATTACTGATCTGCTTTTTCGACTTTTGTTCTGCTGTCTTCAAGCCCTTCTCTGTCTATAATAACCAACCTTATCTGCTAGGACATCAGAAATCTTATTCTTTTTTTCCAGGGTAAAAAAATACATGCTTCTGTGTGTGTGTGTGTGTTGCACACTTGTATGTGCATGCACGCGAGAGTTCCAGGAGGCCAGACTAGGGTGTGTGAGTCCCTCAAGCTAGGGTTATATATAGATGGCCGTGAGTCACCAAAGTGACGCGGTTGCTGGGAAGTGAACGCTGGTCCTCTCTGAGAGCAGCAAGGGTGCTTAACTGCTGCTGAGCCATCTCTCCACACCCCCAGGACTTAGTCCGTTTCGTGGAAAGAATTGCTTCCTGATTATAGAAGACAAATCAAACTTAAGTAGGATTTTGAAGTTGCTGGTGTGTACCAGTGGGTATCTGGGAGGCTCGAGGCAGGAGAATCGCTTGGGCCCTAGACCAGCTAACTCATTTGAATTTTGTCTTTTAACTCTAGAAAGTCACTGAACACCCACCCAGAAGATGGGCCCACGACAGAAGGGCGAGCTGGAGAGGCAGCAGCCAACACTGCATCTACACACCTCATTACACCTCAGTAGATGGGTTACAATGGGGGGACCTGTCCTCCATAAGCAGGGCGCAGGGGTAGGGCGAGGGCAGCGAGGAGGTGTGTCACTAGGACTCTTTTATAATTTATTTCATGGTTCTACTGGAACTTTGTAGATAACCAAGAGAAACAAATCACAAAAGCAGGCGCGTCCAAACCGAGTTTTAACCCACTTCCCCCAGTATGCTTGCTCTGGGAGGCCAGAGACAAAGGCTTTTCATTAAATTAAAATGTAAAATGCTTTCTTTTATTACTGCCTGGTGCTCAAGGATATTCTGCTGATTCAGCAGCAAGTAATCAGCTTTGACCTAAATAATAGAATAACTCAAACAGCGCTGTGGTGGTTGCACAAGCAGGTCCAAATCTGCAGTTCCTTCTTTTCCTCTTGTCCTCTTCCCCCACCCCCTCCAGGCTCTGGGTAGGCAAGCCAGTTACATCAGGTTCTTTCTGCCTCTCCACCCCCTATTTGGCCTGTCCCAACTTCATTTCTCTTCAGAAATTCTTTTCTTCAGAAAACCATTTCTTCCACAAACGATCCCACCCCAGCACTGGGCCCACACCCACTCTCCTTTGTGCCCCACATTATAGACCAGTGACTGACTGCTCCACCAAGGGTGGCCTTTCTTCAAACTTCTCATGACTCAGTAGGTCCAGTCAATCATCAGCCAAATAAGACAACGAAAAGCAAAGTTTCTGGAGTAACTGTCCCCAACCCCCCCACATCCATGCTCTTTGTCCTGGCTGGTTTTGTGTGGCAACTTGACACCAGCTACAGTCATCACAGGAAGGAGCCTCAGTTGAGAAAATGCCCCGATGAAAGTGAGTCATTTTCTCATTTAGTGATCAATGGGGGAGGGCCCAACCCCTGGTGGGTGGTGCCATCCCTGGGCTGGCGGTCCTGGGTTCTCTAAGAATATGGGCTGAGCAAGCCATGGAGACAAGCCAGTAAGCAGCTCCCCTCCATGGCCTCTGCATCAGCTCCTGCCTCCAGGATCCTGCCCTGACTTCCTTCAGTGATAAGCAATAGTGCTGAAGTGTATGGCAATTAAACCCCTTCCTCCTCAGCTTGCTCTCTGGTCACGGTGTTTCACCGCAGCAATAGAAACCCTAACTAAGACACTCTCTGCTGCTTCTCCCAAAAGTATGCTGAAGCTGGGTGACATCCTGCCTCCACCTTTACACGGAGACTGTTTCACAGAGCTGGGTGACCTGGCACCTGCTGAGAGGATAGGAGACACTGGATGACAGTGGCCGTGCTGGGAAGGAGTACTGGAATAAGATGTCACAATACCAGGGTGCTGGTGGCACCCTCACCCACTGGAAACTCAGCCTTCAGGAACTTGAGGCAGGAGAATGCCATGTTCAAAGCTAGGCTACATAGTAAATTCAAAGGTGGCTTGGGTTACATGGTAGAGCCCTGTCATAGAGCAGGACATGGAACTGACCAGACATGACAGGGGAAAGCCACAGGATTAAGGTCTGGAGGATAGCCTGGGGGGGTCAATACAATGAGTTTCAGGGTAGCCTGACCTATATATTTTAAGTTTCAGGCCAACCAGGGCTACATAGCAAAATCACATCTCAAAAGCTCCCTTGCCCCAAAGATGCCAGCATCATGAAGCATGGCATCGACAAAGTGTTTTCAACATGGGCTGCCCCGAGAGACTATTGAAGAAGGCTCCAACGTGGGCTTTTAATAAAGCACTAGTAGAGAGGTGGTGCTTATGAATCCCGCGTCAGAGAGGCTGGGGCAGGAAGGCTGCCGCAAGTTTGAGGTCAGCCTGGCCTACGTAGCAAATTCAAAGCTAACTTGGGCTATATAGTGAGACCCCACCCCCTATTTCCCAAAGCAAAACGACATTCAACAAACCAGAGACCAGAACCTCTGTACGCAGGCTTGGAACATCTGGGACCTGTCTTCCATCTCCGGGAGTTCCCTAACGGAGTTTAAGATTTTCCTGCTGGAATACTATCTAGACACACATCTCAAGGATAGTGAAAAATTACTGTTCCCGGAGGACAAGGCTGGCTCTGCTCAGTTGGAGCCACTCTCCTTGCAGCTCCACTCAGGAGGCAGGGGAGGGCCACAGAGACTTTATTAGGTCTTTGAAGGCAGGAAAGGGAGACAGCAAATGTCTCCATTTCTTCTTGACTTGTCTGGGCAGTGTCCAGGGAGGGCAGGGCTGGAGTGCACTATATGCTGCCTGCCTCTCTGGAGCTGGCTGGAGAAGAGCTCATTTTACCACCTGGAAGGGCTGGGACTGTCCTAGCTCGGGGCAGGGTGTGTGTGCGCACAGACCTCACGACTTCAGAGTCACTGTGCAAAGTGTCAAACCCGTGGCTGTCTGTGGTAAAGGAACAGCATAGTGTGGTCTGGTTCCTCTCCTGGGCGGGGGGGGGGGAGGGAGCCTCACAGCTGTGGAGCTCTGGGTTTCTAGGAGAGGGTCAGAGGAGCCCTCTTGTCTGAGACTTTGGTAGCATCAGCGGGAAGGAGGAAGCTGACTCTGTGCACAAGACACCGACACAGCAGCTGCCACTCATGTGCTCTCTCCATGGGCTGGAGGCAGAAGCAGCAACTTCTCCCGCTTTCCTACACTGCCCCCAGCTCTAGCTCCAGCTATGAAGCAAGTTAGTGATCCTAATACCCATGAACCACAGCTCCCAACTCTTCTTCGGGCTAGGTCGAGGTACAGAAAGATCTGTGCTCCCAACAGACACCCTCCTGATGCACACACAGGATTGCTTACCATGCATGATCTGCTCTCGCAAGGAGGCAGACAGCAGCTTGGCCAAGCAATCAGAATGTGTGGAGTAGAGTTGAGGGGGCGCACACTCATTTACCTCTGGTCTGTAAGCAGACCAGACAAAACATGTGACCACTGTCCCAAACAGGGGGTTCGGCCTCATAGTTCACCTTGCCTATGTGTAGGGTCTACGTCAGGGCCAATCTCCACCACCAAACAAAGCCCTCTTGCTAAGGTCTCAGATGCTTGTCCTGGGAGATTGTCTAGAGTGGCGGGCCCCTCTTACCCTATCACACCAGCAAGACAGAAGGACAATGGCTGGACCTGGAAATGAATAGCAAGGCTGGTCGCCACACTGTTAGAAGCTGTGTACTGAAGGCAGGCCCCAAGCCAACCCTTTGAGTGCAGCCTCTGAAACCCAAGCAGTTGCTTGAGGAGCTGGTGTGTGAGTAAAGACACGGAGCATCCCAGCCTACCAAGATCACTAGAAGTCGGCTCCACAGAAACTTTCTCGCGAAGATCTGCTGAGTCCACCTTGCAAGCCTCTTTCCATCCTGGGTTTTCACTCCAGCCAATTAATCCTAACCATGCCTACAAGGCTTTCCCATTACTCCAAACACAACAAATCAAAGTAACTCATCCAAGGCAGGCATGGTGGCACGCACCTTTAATCCAGGCACTCAGACGGTAGAGGCAGCTGGATCTCTGTCAGTTTGCGGCCAGCCTGGTCTACATATAGAGCTCTAGGACATCCAGGGCTACACAGAGAAACCCTGTCTCAAAAACAAACCAAACCAAAACAAAAACCTATCTAGGGCGCAGACAAAGGATAAACTCTCCTCCGACACACTTCACAATGTTCGTGAGTTGGAAATCTCTAAATTGTCACAACTCTCTGCCACGAGGCTACTGGGGTCTTCTCAGCAGCTGTAGAAGCCAGCACCACTGTACTGGAAGACCAAGGACTCCAAAGACCTGGACTCCATGCAGGATCTGCCCCCTAGAAAGTCACTTGCTCTATCCTTAGGAAAATAATAATATGGTCCATCTTACCTCACGAATCCATGAGGTAATCATGGCCATGAGGCTCCAATCAGAAACCAGATAGAAGAGGTGAAAGGGCCAATGTCCTGGCATCAAAAGCAACTGTGTCTCCAAGAAGCTATTTCTACTTCTTGTTTGTGATAGGCTTTCACTATGTAGCCTGTGCTGGCCACCAGCTCAATATCCTCTTACCCTTGCCTTCCAAGTTCTGGGATTCCAGGCATGTGACACCATACCTGGCTTCCTATGCAACACTAGAGGTGACTCTGGAGAATGCACTCATCCAAAACACATTCGTATGGAATGGAAAGCAGAGAGAGAGAGAATGAAGAAAGAAAGGAGAAACCAGGACATAAAGGTTGTCAGGAAGACCGAAAGAGGCTGAAGTGAGGTCCAGATGCCACTTACACAAGCAGATGGCAGCCAGGAGGCGCAGGCCAGACTCCGGGGGGAAGCAGGTAGGGAAGAGCGGCTGCAGCACGTAGTTGGAGAAGGTGAGGGCGATGACAGCTTGGTTGGTGGGGTAGATCACCAGAACAGCAATCCACAGCCGCAGGAACCTAAAGGAAGAACAGCAAAATCACTGGCTGCCAGGGCAGTGAGCCTGAGTCAGCAGAAGTCAGGTAAAGGGCAGGGATGGGGGGGAAGTCTTGAGCAAATGAGCAAATAAATACCAGTGTATTAAAGGCATATTTCTCCTTTTGTTTATAGAGATACTGAAGAGGCCAGCTCTTGCCCTATCCCAAACGAGACCCCAAGTCCTTTGTAATGCCAATGACATGATGTATCAGCAAAGTCCTCCATACATGTCAGCTAGTGCTGACACACATCCTGATGTTTGGGCTTTCTCCTTTCCCCTTTAATCCTCTTGCAACGTTAGCCCTTTACGTTCAAGGGTTGAAAAAGGAAATATGCAACCCCAGAATTCTGATAAGCAGAACACCCTAAAGGTGTGGCTACGTAAGCAGTTGTCAGGGAGGTATCAGACAGGAGTCTTCAGGGCAATCACCTTGCACACACTTTGGCCCTTTAGTGATGGATGAGTTCCTCAATTGGAGTTAGAGAAGCCAAGAAAACTCAAGATTGGAACTCTGGAAGGAGGTCACCATCCTTGGCAATGTGAAGAGGGGGATGCTTCATCTCAGGATGCTCCGACTGGGACACATGTCCTTCACATATATAGGGCTTCCTTTTCGTGATTACTTTTCCTAGAATTCTGTGGTCACTGTTGTCATTTTCTTTGTTTATAGAGCCTTGCCTATCAGGCTTAAATGTGGAGATAAGAATTGCAGTGTGGCTCATCTACTGGTTACGTGATTGGCAACACACTGGACTTGAAACTCCCGTCCTTGGACTCTTTGGATCTGGCCCTTCTGTCCCAGATTTCTCCTTTCCCTCCACCAGTGGCACTAACTTGCAGCCCATGGACCACATGCATCCTAGGATAGCTATGAGTATGGCATAAATACATTTTTAGATGACAGAGTCATATTGGTACGCAAAAGATTGGACGTTAGCTTTAGACCATCCAGACCTCCAGATCTGCTCACCCAGCCAGTCCTCCGAAGATGTCCTTGACATAGGAGTAGTCACCTCCAGATTTGGGGATGGTGACACCCAGCTCCGCATAGCAGAGGGCTCCCACAGCTGTGATGATGCCCGTCACTATCCAGACGATGAGAGCTAGGCCAACGGAGCCAGCGTTCTCCAGCACACCCTTTGGGGAGACAAAGATCCCAGAGCCGATGATATTCCCTGCACAAGGCACAAAGATTCAGTGAGGTCAGAACAGGTGACATCTCAGGGTCATCCCATCTCTAACATGATTCTGAAGCATCTTTGCGATGGGGGTTATGATGTCTGGCAATGATTCTTACTAGGGTCTTATCTCTGAACTGGTTCTAAAATGTCTCCAAGATCTCCACGAACTCTGGGCAGGTATGTCCGGTAACAACTCTTCCTCAAGTAGGGGAAAGGGCAGAGAACTGACACACATTCACAGGAACTCACAAGTTTCTTTTATTCCCTGGGAAACTCCTAGGGGGTCAAATAACATTGCTCATATTTTCAGCAGAGGAAAACAAGTCTCAGAAAAGCAAAATGAGTTATGTGAGGCCACGCAGTAGGGACGGCTGGAGCAAGTACTGAATCTCAGGATGCTCCGACTGGCTACTCAGGTTCTAGCTAAAGTGACAGGCTCTTAGAATTGGCTAAAAAGAAAGGACTGGGAACATGATGCTCAGAGACCATCTGCTGACTAGAAAGCTTCAAAAATGAGCCAAAGGGCAAATTCTTTTGGACAGATTATGGCCACATACCATGACGACTTGTGACTATGGGCTGGGTATAGTGACCCATACTTGGAATCCCAACACTTGAGAAGCCAAGGCAGGAGGATCAGGAGTTCAAGGTTAACCTGGGTTATATAGTGAAACCCTGGTTTAAAATAAAGCAAAACATTGGTGAGTGGAGACAACAGCCTAGAAGCTGGTTTCTACATGGCCGTGACAGCCCCACCCTTGCTGCAGAGCTTGAAGCAAGCCTATCAAACAGTCACAGTTGTTATAGCCACGGGTTCTTAGAGCACAGGACGTGCAAAACTCAGCACCATATTTCAGAGGCTCCCTCTCCGTGGTGTCATATGACCCTCAGAATCACCCCACAGAATTCAGGGAGAGGAATTTCTCTACACTTTACCAACCAAAAGGCGAAGAGACCATGGGGTTAAGTGGCTTTCTCTAAATTCCTTAGCTACTGATGGGTAAAATTGGATCTTGAAAGCTGTCTCCTGATGCTTAATCTGGTGCTCTTTTCACTAATCCACTTCTGCATGCTCAGGGTTGGAGTCCTCTCAGAGAGAGGCCAGCAGCAGGCACAGAAAGGGGCTCCTGGGTCATGCGCACTGGGCAGGGTGGGAGGAGGGTAGGGATGGTCCCGACACACATCCTCCTAAACTGGCTTCATTCATCTCTACACTGAAGGTGGAAATGAGGTCACCTGAATGCTCCCTTCTCACGCCCTTCCCAGAACCTACATATGGCTTGCAACCATCTGTAACTCCAGTCCCAGGGAATCTGAAGCCTCTTCTGATCTTTGAGGGCACTAAGTATGAATGTGGTGCACATACACACATGCAGGCAAAACACTCCTATGCATAAAATAATAAAATAAGTCTTTAAAAAATACCTTCCTTCCTTTCTTTTTTTAAATTTATTTCTTTATTAATTAATTAAAGATTTCTGTCTCTTCCCCACTGCCGCCTCCCCTTTCCCTCCCCCTCCCCCAATCAAGTCCCCCTTCCTCATCAGCCCAAAGGTATTGGAGAGACTAGGGATACAAGGGTCATACCTAAATATAATAAAAGCTATTTACAGCAAGCCGACAGCTAACATTAAATTAAACGGAGAAAAACTTCCTTTCTTTTTTTTAAAGACAGGGTTTTTCTACATAGCCCTGGCTATTCTGGAACTTGCTCTGTAGACTAGGCTGGCCTCAAACTCACAGAGATCTGCCTGTCTCTGTTCCTGAGTGCTGGGATTTAAGATGCGCATCACCACTGCCTGGTGAACAATTTTTTCAAGGTATCAAGTTCTATGTTTCATTTTCCAAAATCAGCCAGAACTCCACCTCAATTCACTTCTAAGGCATCCACTTCCAAGCCAAAATTCAGCTGTCTTTTCTTTTGAGATGAGGTTGTGCCATACAATTAGTTAGCTAGCTTGGAATTCCTATACACAGGCTAGTAGACTAGGCTATCCTTGAACTTGCACCAATCCAATGTCCCTGCTTTCTGAGTGTTAGGATCACAGGGATGCAACACTATGCCTGGCCCCCAAAGTCCAATTTGCAGTCAGGGCCAAGAACACAGTTTTATGAATCAAAGGGGAAGAAAAGAAAAGTCACATTAAATCCTCTACTCCTCTCAGGTGTAAAACCTGTTGTTACTTCTCAAACTGAAAAGATGTAGCGTGAAGTATTCAGGATGCTGAGACAGGACATATATGTATGTATGCATGCATGTGTATTTAATATGTATGGGTGTTTTACCTGTATGTAAGTCTGTGACTACATGCATGCCTGATTCCTACAGATGTCAGAAGAGGGTGCCAGGTCCCCTGAAACTACAGTTGTAGATGGTTGTAAGCCACTACATGGGTGCTGGGAATTGAATTCAGGTGTTCTGGAAGAGCAGCCAGTGCTCTTGACATCTGAGCAGATCTGGGGCAGGATTTTGAATTTGAGTTCAGCCTGAACAAAATAGTAAAAGTAAAAAAAAAAAACCCAAAACCAAAACAGGCCAACAAACAAAAAACACCAAAACAAAACCAAAAAGCCCAACTAAAACTAAAATAAATGCTTTTAAATTTTATTTTATTTTTAAAATCAGAATGGCCAGGGTGGTAGCACAAATCTTTAATCCCAGCATTCAAGAGACAGATGCAGGCAGATATCTGTGAGTTCAAAGCCAACCTGGTCTGTATAGCAAATTCCAGGCCAGCTAGGGCTGTAAGTGAGACCCTGTTCCAAAATAAAAAAGCCACAGATAAGAATACATTCTCTTTTAAACATGTTTTCCTTCATAGATACAAATAGAAATAAAACCAAAGGGTGAAATAGCCCATCAACATGAAGCTCAGATGCAAAGATCAGGCCTAGAAGCGGCAGATAAAAGGGGTCAGCTGTTACAGACATCTTTCTTTCCCCTCCCTCCTCACATGCTATGTGAAGTCCTTTGATAGGACAAGAAGACATCTTTGTTACCACGCTCTCTATGAACTGCTGTCTTAGCAGAGACTAAAAGGTCAGGTATTCCAGGCCCCAGGGCTTGGTCATCCTGTCAAGTGATCCTTCAAGATGGGCAGTGTATTGGCTCACACTAACCATCCCAGCACGCAGTAGGCCAAGGCAGGAGAATTGCCTCCAGTCTGAGATCAGTTCTTGAAGTACAGTGTTCAGCTCTGTCTCAAAACAAAACAAGAAAGCAAAAACATTGTTCACCTGCCAAAGCTAACTGCTCTGCTATTCCCTGGAAGACAGGAAGCTGGGAACAGAGAACATTAGAGTCAGAGCTGGAAGAGGACAGTAAATTCCTTCCTATCTGGGGATTATCACAAGAGGGATCTAAAGGGCCGTCTAAGAAGAGAGAAACAAGCTTAGTCTACAAATCAGCTTCAGGGTTAGAAGACCAACACTGGGAGAAAGACAAGGGTCGACTTTGGTCTTAAGGTAGTGAAATGGAAGAAGAGGAAATGCCCAGGCATTTCTTGAAAATGGGAAGAGCAGTTTTGGTGGGAAGATGGGGTGTCCTGTTAAAAGTTCGCTCAGGGATGAAGAGTCAATGTTCTGCTAAGGGTTCTGGGCAAATAAACAGCCATAAGAATCAACCAGGAGTGTGAATACTTTTGCAGCCTCTGGGACACTGTCAGAGTACACACATCACCGGGTCCCCTGGCAGATGAGGTATACAGCACTAGCTAATCTTTAAGGGGGTCTGTGGACTAATTATTTCTCGGAGGAAACAAGGGAGGTATTATTATCCCCATTTTACAGATGAAAAAAAACAGAGACCCTGAAGGTGTTGTGGGATATTTGGATACTGTGTGAAGGTGTGTTGCTGTGATTGGTATAATAAAAAGCTGAATGGCCAATAGCCAGGCAGGAGGTATAGGTGGGATTTTTGGGGAGAAAAGAAAGAAGAGGAGGAATTGAGGCACACAGGGAAGCCAGGAGACATGGAAATGAAACAGGAGGTATAAGATGGCAGAGAGGTAACACCACACAATAGAATACAGATTAATATAAATGGGCTAATTAAGTTATCAAAGCTAGGTAGGAACAAGCCTAAGCTATAGGCTGAGCATTCATAATTAATAACAAATCTCCATGTCATTATTTGAGAGCTGGCTGGTGGGACAGAAAAAAGACCCATTACAAATGGTTCCCAACATGGGGCCCATACAGAGAGTCCACTGCTCACAGTGTAGAGGCGGGACTCCTTTAAGAATCCCAGCTATGCAACAAAGCACTTGTGGGAGACGAGATAGAAATTCCTGCAACAGTGCAGACACAACAGCTCACAGAGCTAGGATGCCTGATTGGCCTAAAGCTGGGTGGACCCAAAAAGGGCCTAGCCAAAGTTAAACTTTGGCTCCCAAGGTCACAGAAGGCTCCAAACACATATAAAGTCAGATCCATACTGAGAAAATATCTGGACAGATATAATATGCTTTAAAATGTGCTTAGATTCTGAAGAACGAAAAGAAAATGGACAGTCATAGAAGAAAGTAAATAGCTTTAAAATAATAAAGTCTTTAAGTAAAGTAATATAAAAAGAATAAGCCATATAAAGATGGGAAATGCACAGCATGGATCCTGGATGGTGTTTTGTGGGTTTTGTTATTAAATGATAATATATATAAAAAATTGTTGTTAAGAGACATTGTACTATGGAAGCTATTAAATTAAACCAACCTATATATTTTAAAAATGCCTTAACTTCAAAATGGTAGTCAGAAAATATGTTGTATTGGGGGAGAGGTTATGTTTCCAAAGGAAACAAAAAATTATATTTCTCTTCAAAATTAATAAAGATCAGTTTGACTGGGGAGACCTCCTGAAAATCTTGGCTACAGACATAAAGGAAAATAACAACAACTACAAACTACAAGACAGGTGACATATATGATGACCCCTCTGCCTGGGGACAGAGACATGAAAAATCTTGTTGGCTACAGAATCTTCATGATTTATTATTA